AAGTCTCCCAGCCAGAGCCTGCCTCTGGCACCCCAGCCCCTCCCTTCCCTCAACCCACTGGTACCCCAAGTAAACCAAACCCTCTGCCCCCCACCTGAACCCACACCCCTCCCAGATCCTTCCACAGAGCTGCCATGTCTTCTCCAGAGCCCTTCAGCTGGCACCGAGGCCAGAGTCCAGGGAGTGCCCGGTGGTCCCAGTGGAGCCCAGCGAGCGTGGAGGGAAGGGCTGGTTCTTGGGGTGGGGCCGGGGGCTGTTCTGAAAGGCTGCAGGCGCCGTTAGACCCTTTTCTCCTTCCCTGTCTCACCCCAGCGCTGAGCAACACTCAGTGTCGGTCTGAGCATCCGTCCTGCTCTGGGACGTGTCTCTGTGGCAGGAACCTGCCCAGGCGGCTCTCGCAGTGAGGCCCCTCCCTGGCAGCACCGAGCAGTGAGAGCTGAGTGAAGGGGGAGGCAGGTCCAGGGGGAGAAGGCTCCATGACTGTATCAGAGGGAGGCTCTGGCCTGGCCAGTGGGGAATCGTTGCCTCTCCGAGGGGCCCAGGCCTGGTGGGTCATTTCCCCAGGTTACTGAGTGGGGGCTGGAGCCAGTTCTGGGTTGTCTCCTTCAACGAGCAAACTGAACAAATGGATTTTGTGCCAACCTGACACTGCACTGGGCTTCCTGCAGGGCTGCCAGGGCTGCCAACACAGGAGAGGGGTGGGTCAGGAGTTTGAGTGACCAGCTCTGCCCCCTCTGAAGGGCTTGTGAAAATGGCAGGTGCTGTCTTGGCAGTGAGGGAGAGGTGGAAAAGGGGCCCTGAGAGAACCTCTTGGGTCACAGCTGCTGTAACAATGAGGTAAGATGAACGGCTAGGTAGTGGTCATGTGAAAAGTGAGGCTGGTTTCCCCAACGGAATCAAACCCAGGTCTTTGCCGTGAAAGTGCTGAATCCTAACCACTAGACCACCAGGGATACACAAAAAGGCACTTTTCCTTACCTACACTAGCCTTTCACAGGCCACTTTCTGTTCCCTTCAGGACGAGGGTCCATTTTCCATTGGCCAGAGGGGACAAGAACAGAAACCAAACAGAACATCAGAACAGCCAGACGGGGCCATGCCAGTTGCCCAACTAGCCCAGGATCCTGTCTCACAACAGCAGCCAATTCCTTTGCCCAGTGGGAATCCTCAGGACAGACAATCATTAAGTGATCCTTCCTGTCACCCATTCCTAGCTTCTAAAATACACCAGCTAGGGACACCTGCCCTGTCCATCCTGGTTAAATGCCATTGATTGACCTTTCCTGCATTAAATTATCCAGTTCTGTTTTGGACCTTCTTGTAGATTTCACCTTCACAGCATCCACTGGCAAGGAGTCCCACTGGGTGCAAAAATGCTTCCTTTTGGTCTATTTTTCATTTGGTTACTTACGAGTTTCATTCTCTCACCGGGGGTCTTCAGTAGGAGAAAAAAAATTCTTATTGCTTTCTGCACCCCTGTCATCATTACATAAACCTCTGTCCCATCGCCCCTGAGTCGTCCCTTTCCCAAGCTGAGGAGAAGTTCCATGAACTCGTGTGAGCTGCTGTTCCAAAGAAGAGGTATTTCCCGTGGAAAAGATGGTCAAGCCCAATCCCCTACACAGAGCCCCAGGAAATACCAATCAACACTGGGCACTTGTAAAGCTCCCTCTCGGTCAGCGCTACGGAATGGATCCGGCTGGCCATCGGGCTGACTAACGCCATCAACAGACGAGTCCCCGTGAGACTTCTCAGCCCAAGTGCAGAGACTGTGGAGTCTCCCACTCCCAGCCCAGTGGCAGAGGGGCAGTGCCATGAGGAGGCGGGTCCCAAGGCAGCGGAGACCTTTGAAGGGAGCGGAGACGTAAGGTCAGAAGGAAGGAGAACAAGTCACCTCTTCTCAGGTGAGATGTGGTGGGAAACTACCAGATCCAGTGCAAGCCGAGCTCCAAGGGCTGGTTCCTGCCCTTGTGGCTCGTTGCAGGGCCTGGCTTGAGAAGCACCAAGGAGCCGTGTGTGGCCAGGAGAAAGGGAGCAGAAGGAACGTGGATGAAGTAGCTGAGTGGGGGAGCAGGAACAAGGGAGGGTGTCAAAAGAAGCTGGGGGTGCTGGGTGGGAAGAAAGTGAGGGGAACACGGTAGCTGGGGTCTGGGCATGAGGCAGGACAGCCACACTGCATCGAAGGTGAACAGCCACGGTAGTGGCACTTCCAGGGTTGGTCCTGGACTGAGTGGCTGCAATGACCTGGTCCCAGGCAAGGCATCACTGAGAAGTCTCAGCCCCAGTGCCGCAGGGGCTGAGGCCGGGTGGTTGGGGGGCGGGAGGCCGTTACACCGCAGGGCCGGCTCCCGGCTGCTCCGCCGCGCGCGCCTCTCCTCTGCCCCGGGCTTCCCCCGGCTCACGTGAGTGCCCC